CGAGTGGTCTTCCTACTTCAGTCTAATTTCCAAACTAATGATAATGTTACATAAGCCAATGGCTATGCTTCACTAAAGTCACTGGGTGAAGACTAATGGTTCAAGTACAAAATTTTTTGCTGTATTCAAATAAGTTTTCTAACAAAATTAATCTGATATGCTTTTAACTATATTCATAGTCATTATAGTGTTGCATGCAATGAAGCATAAATGCTCAGCAGTTCAAATAGATAACTATGATAATTAGTATTGCTTTCACAGTCTGCCAAATTTTAAATTTTAGTGTTCATATTGTAAGTTCTTCATGGTTCTTCACGATCTGTTAGCAGAATCAATATTTACCATTTCACCTAATATAATAAACTGTTTAATCATCTCCTTTTCATTACTCTGCATATATACAAATCCTCATGCAGGATAAGTCTAATAAACTAAAAGCTAACTTGACTTTGTATATTTTGCTATTTTCAACTAACAGATCTCCTCCTAACCCTCAGAACCATGTTCGAGGTCTGGGCTTTCAGATCATTTTTTCCCCCGTTTTGCATTTCTTAGCTCTCCATATCACTACCCCCCTCTTTTCAATGTTCACTCTCCATCTTCCAGATATGTCAAATAAAGAGAGTAGAAAGATGGGATCCGTAGTATTTGGACTTTCTACTTTGGATTGACACAGTGAAAAGGTGCAACTGGGCTCCAGGGATTACATGGGAAAATAATAAATTTGACTCACTGTGTGAATACACCTGCGTTAAGGTAGAGACTAAATGAATTAGATCAAATCTCTACCCTCATTCTTTATATACTATAACCGAATCTATTTTCTGTGAGAAACCTTTCCTGTTTCCTCTTTCTGTTCCAACCCCTAATTATATTCACCTTTGTCTTCACTGCTCCACTCAAATGCTTTTTAACACCCTCAATAGATCCTATTAGGAAGACTAGTGCACTTTACTGGCTTCCATGTTTATTTCTCAATGAATTTAACATTGATTTCCCTGCTTGCTTCTGTAGACTACTCTTCTTCCTTAGGTTTTGTGAGACTTTCTAGGTTCTTCACCTATGTACTTTATTATTTCACAGTTTTTCTTGGTGGTGGTTCTTATCGCTGATATCTCTTCTGTTTGATTTTCACATGAAGAAGTTCTCTGGGTTTTTTATTTGTATCCCAAACATTCTTTTTAAGGGAATGCTTCTTTATTCTTTAGGTTTCAGTGACCAACTTTATGCTTGTGACTTCCAGATAGACTTCAAAGATAGACCCAAATTCTCACTTTCTCCCTGGCTATTTGTTGCCAATATTTTAAACTAAGTATAATCAAAGACAAATAATATCTTCTTCCCGAACTTGTGGTACTTCTGTTGTACTTAATTCATTTTATTACTACTACTCATTTAGTGTCATTATGCTTTCACCAAGTTTTTGGCCATCTTTCTAGGCAAATATTCATAGTCTTCATTTATTACTTTGCCATTCCTAGTCACTTAGATAGCTTTGTTTCCTTTACTATCTTTCTCTCTACTGTTAGATACTTTTGAACAATACAAGTCAGAATGTATCCCTACTGTCCTCAATAACCAGCTATGTCTCCTGTTGCCTAAACAGAAAATTCTACTTAATCCATGAATTACTTAACCTTGATCTGGCTCCAAACAACAATACCAGTCTCTCTCTCTTTTTTTTTTTTAACCACATCAAGCATTGTAGGTTAGCAATGCAGAATTCTTTATTGTTGCCTTTATTTCTTGTATGCTTTCGGTTCAGTTCTTTCTATTTACTTCTTCATATTGTCTTTTTTACCTAGGCTACATTCTCATTAATTTTGTCTATCAGAACTCTTATACTTTAAAGTCTCAACTCAAATTCAACTTCTACAACTCTTTCTCAGATATCCTCCTGCATATTCAGCTTCTAGATGAATCTTTCTCTTTCTAAATCCTACCACTTGTACTTTTATTTAGCATATGTGTTTTGCTACTATGATTTATAAATACTGTTTTACATTGTTATTCTGTCTACGTAATTCCACTCACTTCCACACTCATATTGTAAATATTTTTTTTAATGAATTTTCATCTGTGGAACTGTAGCAGAGTGATAAGCATTGACTATGTACTCAATAAATATTGAATTAAAATAGCATATAGATTCAAGTCAATTTTGAACTGATTCTCTCTACATAAAGTGTAGCACTGCTGAAGTGATATCCTTGAGTAGGTGAGAGGGGATGGGATTTTTGCACAGCATGTTAGGTGGGAGCTTTGATTATGAGTTCAACGAACTGTGAAATCCAAGGAGAAGCAATATATGCAGATGTGGGTAGAAATGGAGTATAAAGTTGGAAAATCTCTTCTGATTGCTTCAGTTTTCTCAAAGAAGTAAGAAGCAAGATCATCATATATGAGAGCATATTAGGAAGGAGGTTTGCAGAAGGAGAACTACAAACCACTGCTCAGTGAAATAAAAGAGGACACAAACAAATGGAAGAACATACCATGCTCATGGATAGGAAGAATCAATATC